TTTCCTCTACTCTCTCTCATCAGGAGTCATCAACACAGAAGACCGACTTCTGTGACCAGATATGTGGGGATTTCTGTCCACTGGCAAGCAAACCAGAAATTCTTCAGTGGACGCCAATGGGGTGTTCTCCAATTCAATTCTAACACTGTCTACCTAGAGATAGCATTAGACTGCACAGGATGAGGGCTCAGTTCCCAAGACTTCCCCCACTTCTGATGCCAGTTGCAAGTCCAGTCTTCTGGAACTTCTGACCACCCAGCTGTCAATCGTGGTTCCCACAACTCCTTGGGTTCGATTAGTTTGCTTCAGCAGCTCACAGAACTCAGGGAAACATATACTTAATGTTTACCAGTTAATTATAAAAGATATTACAAAGGATATAGTTGAAGGAGATGCATAGGGCAAGGCATGGGGGAAGGGACGTGGAGCTTCTGTGCCCTCCTCGGTTGCTTCAGGAACCTCCACATGTTAAGCTATCTGGAAACTCTCCAAACCTAGGTCCCTTGGGTTTTTATACAGGCTTCATTACATAGGCACAATGGATGAAATCATTGGCCACTGGTGATCAACTTAACCTTCTGTCCCTTTTCCCTCTCTGGAGGTAGGGGGGTAGGGCAGACTGAAAATCCAACCTTGGTCTTTCCTGTGACCAGCTCCCATCCAGAAGTTAGTAGGGACTATGAGCTATCATTAGCATACATACAAAAAGACTCTCATCTCTGGAGAGTCTAAGGATTTTAGAAGTTGTATGTCAGGAGACAGGGATAAAGACCAAATATATTTTTTCACAATATCACACATATTTTTACAAGTATGTATGCTACGCATTCATTTCTGAAGATTTAAATTTTCTTCTGGTATCATTTTTCTTCAACTTTCCTTTATCATTTCTTGTCATGTGAGTCTGATGGCAATGAACTCCGCTAATTTTCTTTTGCTGGAAATGTCCTTATTTTGCCTTCTGTTTTTGAAGGATATTTTTACTGGAAATAGAATTATGGGTATGAGAATTGTTTTTCTTCCAGCACTTTACAGATGTTTTCCCACTGCTTTCTGATGATAAGTCATCAGTCATCAAAATTGTTTCCCTTGAATATAATCTGTCTTTTTTGGCTAATTTCAGATTTTTTTTTTAATCTTTTGTTTTCGGTGGTTTGATTATGATGTGCCTAGGCATAGTCCTCTTATAAATTATCCTGTTTGGGATTTGCTTATCTTCTTGATTCTGTAAATTTATGCTTTTCAGTAGTACCTTGGTAAGTTTGGAGTCTTTTTCCCCCCAAATAGTTTTTCTGCCCCATTTTTTTTTCTCATGGGAGTCCACTTACCAGTTATTTTTCAATTTTTTTTTCCTTCTCCCTATAGATTTCTGTTGATTCTGTGTCTTCAGTTCCATTGATTCTTTCATCTGTCATCTCACTTCTTCTACTGTGCCTATCCAGACAATTTTTAAATTTCAGATAGTGTAATTTTTAGTTTAAAGTTACCATTTGGGTTCTTTTTTTACATTTTCAATCACTCTGCTGAGATTTCCTATTATTTTATTTACCGATGCATATTTTTCTTTACTTCACTGAGAATTTTGCCTGATAATTCTAGAGTCTGGATTATCTCAGGGTTGGCATCTGTTGATTGTCTTTTCTTTTGAGAATTGATAAAATTTCCTAGCTTTTTGTATACAGAGTAATTTTGGATATATCCTGGACATTGTGAATGTTATGTTGTGTAGATTCAGTATTTTTTTAATATTTCTTCTAAGAGTACTGATAATTTTGCTTTAGCAAGCAATTAACTTGATTAGACTCAAATTGTGCACTGTCATACCTACAATTACTCATGCCTCAGATTTCAGTTCACTTCTTTAAGGCTTAGTTGCCAGTTACATTTAGTTTGCTCTGTACATGCATAGTTGATGAGTCAGCTGAAGACTGCTGATGGATTTAAACATAAAATTGTGCATTTTTTCTTCTCTAGAGCTCTCCTTTCTGAGGTTCCCCTCTTACTCTCCAGCAGCCCTGGTTGGACTCAGGGCTCCTTCCTCTGTTCCTTCGGCCTGAAAGATGATGGGTTGTTTGGGTTTTTTGTTTGTTTGTTTGTTTATTTGTTTTCCTCTTTCTTTCAGAGTTTTAGCCACCCAGACTTGCCACTACCATGACTATAGTAATCCTTAGAGCAAAGCCACAAAAAATGAAAAACCCACTCTCTTCTGGTTGCTTGCTCCAGGTTTCCACACCCCTCTAAAACTACATGCTTTTTTCCATCTTCAGAGGCCTCCAGTAAGTTTTTTGTATGTTTTGTTTTGCTTTGGAATTTTTTCCATAGTTATTTGTAGAAGGATCTATAGTTAGACACTCACTCCTTCATACCAGAAGTAGAAAACCTGCACTTCCTTCTTGAAACCTTCTTGTCTGTTTATTTCCATCAAACTCTAAGGTCTCTTCCTATTGTTCTACTCAGTGGCATAGTAACCACTGAGAATTCAGATATGCCTAAAAAACCCCAGCTTGTCCACTTGCTCACTTATGGTTTTGGACAGTCTCCTTAACTTAACTTTAGTTTCCCCACCTATAAATTATTTTAGGTTCCCCTTTCATAAATTAGAGATTTTAATAATTCTTTGAGGAAAGAATATTTAATTCTAGGTAGAATTATTGTACGTGAAGCACATAGTACAGTGGTTGGCACATAAGGTATACTTGATAAATGCTTTTACCCCTCTTAATCCTTCAAGGGCTCCTCTTCTTCTGTATGACCTTAAATGGCATTTGGCCTTACTCTATATAACATCCTCTGAGATCTCATTTACTCTTTTGGCTTCATCTCCTTCCTTAAAAGCCAGTGAGTACCACATCTAGTCACAGTTTCTCAGGAACTGCAAATTTAAATATTTTAGTACCTACTGGATAGTCCATGTGGATTTCCCTTAGGCACTTCAAACTCATGCCCCAAACTGAACTCTTCTTTTTCCTCCATACCGAGATCAACCTCTGCTGCTTCTGCGTTTGTACATTCAGTTAATCACTAAGTCATTGAAGAAAAACACCTAAGTGTATCTTTAAATCTTTCCACTATATACCTCTTAGATTTAATTGCCAAGTCCTATACCGTTCTTTCAAAGTGTCTCCAACCTATCTCCCTGTCTCTATTCCTACTGCCTCTGATTTTGTTCTGGCACTCATTTTGCATGTATACTACTACTGTGGCCTTGCAATTCTCCTCCTGTCTTTAGTATAATTTATCATCTACTATAAACATGATTTTTTTCTAAATTCTAATCTTTATTATGCAAAATCCATAGAACTTTACGATACAAAGAGAGAACCCTATTATAAAATTGTTAGTAATAATATATCAATATTGATTCATAATTATAACAAGTGTACCATGCTAATAATGTAACATGTCAATATATGAGTGGGGGGTAGGTATAGGAACTATCTGTACTTTCTCTGTAAAGCTAAAACTGCTATAAAAATTTTAAAAAAAACTTTAGCAACATTTGTTTTATTGCTTAGAACCCATCATTGGTTTCCTGGTCTCTTCAGGAAAAATTCCCCACTCCTTAGCAACTTACACATAGGACATCTCCTTCTGCCTCTCTCTGTTCCACCTAGGCAGGCATATACTCTGTATGTACTAAATGTGTGTACTAAGTGCTTTGCAGCTCTCCAAATATGTCAGCTTTCCTAGGCTCCTATGCCTTTTAACAGATGCACTCCCAGCCCCATCCTTCTTTACCTGGTTCTTACCTACTTGTCCTTTGAAATTCATTTCAAGCAACACCTTTTGTGTTTCAGATCCTCTAAGTATAAGTTGTAGCTCCCTCTCATGGTTCCACAGCACTGTTAGACTAGTTACACTATAACTTTTTATCTATTGTCACTAGACTGTGAGCTCCTATATAGAAGGCAAAACGTATATACACACACACAAGCAAACACACACACACTATCCTGTATATTGTATGTTTATTTTTACCAGAGCTTAAGGGCTATAGATGATGTTTACCAATGAGCCCAAGCCATCTGTCTTTATCATATGTAATCATCTTTGAATCATATATATTTAAATTTTTTATTTTTAAAAAATGTTTACTAAGCCCCAGTCATTATTTTCACACTAAAAACCCATGACTAAAGCCTAAGGTCTTCTATAAATTAACCAATGATTATACCTTACTGTAGAACAGTTTCTCAACCTTAGCAGTATTGACATTCTGGGCTAGGTAATTCTTTGTTGTGGGGGGCTGTCCTGTGCACTGTAGGATGTTTAGCAGCATCTCACTAGATGCCAGTAGCAAAATTCTACCCCCATTCCCAGGTGTGACAATCAAAAATTGTCCAAGGGATGCCTGGTTACTTCAGTTGGTTACAGTGTGGAGCTGATAACACCTAAGTCCAGGGTTCAATCCCTGTACCAGCCAGCTGCCAAAAGAAAAAAAAGAAAAAATCTCCAAACATTGCCTAATGTTTACTGGGGAGGCAAATTGCACACAGTTGTGAATCACTGCTGAAGAACTCTCAACAGAGACCTATTTCATGAAATGCCTAACTGTTCTGCCCTGTAAGAATCACCAGTATATGTATTATATTCACTCTGGTTAAAAGTATATGGCATTGTTCAAATTTTTAAAGAGTTAATTTTGGTCTTGCCTCACTCTTTTGAGAGACTTTAATGTGTTCATTTGATCTTTACTTCATAAGTAGAACTACTCCTATCTTCTTGCATATGTCTTCCTTTCTTCAGGGGCTCATTCAACCACTCAACCTTTTGAAAGAATGAGAGGAGTAGGGGAATTAAAATTATCCAGTGTCACATTCTACATATTTTAACCTTTAAAAATCATTGCTGACAGTGGCTAGCGAGAGGTGCATATATCTGTTAACTATGTATGGTCTGAATTTAATATAATATGCTGTTAGTCACAATGTTTCTCACATCTCAGCTGTCTTTGTGTTGGTTGTATTAGTTTTGCCTCTCTCCTTTTTCCTTCTTTTCAGATGATCCATGCTCTTATGGGAAATGCAGTGCAACCCTTACTGACTTCTGTGGGAGATGCTATAGAGGCCATAATCATCACCATGCATCAAGAAGATTTTTCTGGGTAATAGCTTTTAATCAAAGATTTCACTAATCTTGGCAGGAGCTGTGGGCTGTCCCCCCACCTCCCAGAGCAGACAAGAAACAGAGCACACCCAGGATTCTAGGAAGGAGCCGAGGGCCACTGGTTCTGCCCAGAAGCAGGCAAGAAACAGCATGCCCAGGTCCTAGGCAGGACTCAAGGGCAGCATCCCCTACCCAGAAGCAGGCAAAGAATATACCAAAAACACCACTTCAATGCAGCAGACCCACACAGCCACAACTGCCACAATAGCAGCCTAACACCACAGCAGTAGCTACAGCCACCATGCAGGTGACCCACCAGACACTCAATTGCATTGATACAAGGAGAGTCACCAGCAGAGATCATAAAAAGAAGAGGACATTTCTCTTAAAGCCCACTTCAGAGTAATAGAAGAAACAGCTGTTCTACCAGATGACCAGATATCAATGTAGAGACACTAGAAATATGAAAACCCAAGAAAATATGGTACCACCAAAAGAATACAGTAATTCTCAAATACCAGACCCTGTAGAGCAGGAAACCCTTGAAATGACCGAAAAGGAATTCGGAGCAACAATCTTAAGGAAACTCACTGAGATATGAGAAGACTCAGTTATACAACACAATGGAACAAGAAAAAAAATCTGTGATGCAAAGGAGGAAATTTACAAAGAGGTTGATACCTTATAAAATAATGTAGTAGAACTCATTCAACTGAAAGATCCACTCAACAAAATGAAAAACACAACCAATAGCTCAAGCAGCAGGCTAGAACAAGCAGAAGAAATAATTTCTGATCTTGAAGATAGTCTTTTTGAAACAACCCAGGCAGACAAAAAAAAAAAGCAAAAAAGCATGTAAAAAATTTAAGAAAATCTAAGAGAGCTAGCAGTCAACCATAAGCACACAAACATTTGAATCATGAGTGTTCCAGATGGGGAGGAGAAAGGAAAAGGCATAGAAAACCTGTTCAATAAAATAATAACAGAAAACTTCCCAGGTATAGGGAGAGACATAGACCTTCAGAGCCAGGAGGTCCACAGATCCCCAAACAGATCCAACTCAAAAAGATCCTCTCCAAGACACATTATAGTCAAACTGGCAAAGCTCAAGGACAAAGAGAGAATCTTAAAAGAAGCAAGAGAAAAGCATCAAGTCACCTATAAGGGAGCCCCTATCAGTCTAACAGCAGACTTCTCAACAGACACTCTACAGGCCAGAAGAAAATGGGATGGCATATTCAAAATACTAAAAGAAAGAAACTGCCAGCCAAGAATACTATACCCAGGAAGACTATCCTTTGGAAATTAGGAGAAAACGGTGTGTTTTATAGACAAGCAAAAACTGCGGGAGTTCACTACCACACAACCAGCCCTGCAAGAAATCCTCAAGGGAGTCCTGCATCTGGAATCCGAATAACAGCAATCACTACTATGAATACACAAGAAAGAACAAAACCCACTGATAGAACAAAAATGCAAACAAGGAAGAGAAGGAAACTGAATCTGACTACCCCAAGAAACCATACTGACAATGTAATAATATCCCTGCTATATTTCTGATTTTGGTCTTCTCTCTTTTTTTCTTGGTCAATCTAGATAAAGGTTTACAAATTTTGTTTATCTTTTTAAAGAATCAACTTTTAATTTTGTTGATTTTCTCTAATTTTTTTAATTCCCTGTTTCATATGTTCCAGTTGGTAATCTTTGTTATTTCCTACTTATATTTGTTTTGGCTTTGTTTGCTCTTCTTTTTCTGTTTTCTTAAGATGGAATTTTACATGACTGATGTACAAGGAACCTCTGTATTATTTCTTCCAACTGCATGTGAATCTACTATTTCAATAAATATTTTAATTTAAAAAAATTTCACTAATGTTTACTGCCTTTGTTTTTTATTTAACCTCTACCCTTTCTCCCTAACCCCTTTACCATTTAGGGCCTTGTTCCTCTGGTGATGGTGTTGGCTTCCAACCTTTTCCTATTCATATTTTTCTCAAGCACAGGCAGAACATTCTTCAGAATATATCATAGGTTAGGCCACAAGAGAAATCTGAAAAAAATTTAAAAGAACTGAAATCATAAAAATCATAATCGGTATTTTTTCTGATCACAATCGTATGAAACTAGAAATCAGTGACAAGAGAAATCTTGGAAAATTCACAAATATATGGAAATTAAACAACAGACTTCTGAACAACCAGTGTAACAAAAAAGAAATCAAAAGGGAAATAAAAAAAAAATACCTTGAGACAAATGAAAATGGAAACACAACATACCAAAACATACAGAATGCAGCAAAAGCGTTTCTAAAAGGGAAATTTATAGCAGTAAGTGCTTATATGAAAAAAGAAAGATCTCAAATAAACAACCAAATGTCACACCTCAAGGAACTAGAAAAATAAGAAAAAACAGCCCAAAATTAACAGATGGAAGGAAATAGCAAAGTTCAGAGTAGAAATAAATGAAATAGACTAGAAAAACAGTAGAAATCATCACCAAAACCAGGAGTTGGCTTTTTGAAGATAAACAAAATCAACAAATCCTTAGCTAGACTAAATGAGAGAAGACTTACATAAAATGAGAAATGAAAGAGGAGACATTATAACTGATACCACAGAAATACAAAGGATGATAAGAGATTACTAAGAACAAATATATGCCAACAAATTGGGTAACCTATAAAAATATAAATTTCTGGATGTATATAATCTACCAACACTGAGTCAAGAAGAAATAGAAAATCTGAACAGACCAATAATGAGTAAGGGGATTGAATCATTAATAGAAAGTCTCTCATCAGTGAAAAGCTCAGGACCTGATGGCTTCATGGATGAATTCTACCAAAGTTTTAAAGAAGAACTAATACCAATTCTTCTCAAACTCTTCCAAAAAATCAAGCAGGAGGGAATACTTCCAAACTCTTTTTACGAGGCCAGCATTACCCTGATACCAAAGCAAGACAATGACACTACAAGAAAAGTACAGGCTAATATCCCTGATGAACATAGATGGAATAATCCTCAATAAAATATTAGCAAACAATGCAGCACATTAAAAGGACTGTTCACCGTTATTTATCTCTGGGATGTAACAATGTTTCAACATATGCAAATTTATAAATGTGAAGCACCACATTAGCAGAATGAAGGACAAAAACCATATGTTCATCTCATTAGATACAGGAAAATGTATTTGACGAAATACAGCTTCCTTTCATGGTTAAAAACTCTCAACAAATTAGGTATAGAAGGAATGTAGCTCAACACAATAAAGTCTACTTGTGACAGCTCCACAGCTAACATCATACTCGATGGTGAAAAGTTGGAAGCTTTTCTTATAAGATCAGGAACAAGACAAGGATGCCCACTTTTGCCACGTCTATATCATAGTCCTGGAAGTCCTAGCCAGAGCAGTTAGGCAAGAGAAAGAAATAAAAGGCATCCAAACAGGAAAAGAAGTAGTGAAATTCTCACTCTTTGCTGACTTCATGAACTTATATGTAGAAAACCCTAAAGACTCCACTAAAAAACTGTTAGAACTAATAAATAAATAACAGTAAGGCCACAGGATACAAAATCAATACTAAATCTATACACTAATATCAAACTATCTGAAAAAGAAATCAAGGAAACAACCTCATTTACAATAGCTACAAAGAATATAAAATTTTAGGAATAAATTTATCCAAGGAGGTGAAAAAACCATACACTGAAAACTATAAAACACTGATGAAAGAAATTGTCAAAGACATAAATGAAAGGGAGGATATTGTATGTTCATGGATTGGAAGAATTAATATTGTGAAAATGTTTATACCTCCCAATGCTCAGTCTGTCTACAGATTCAGTGTAATCCCTATCAAAATTCCAGTGTTATTTTTCACAGAAATAGAAAAGCAGTCCTAAAATTTATATGGAACTACAACAAAACCCAAATAGCCAAGGCAATCTTGAGCAAAAAGAACAAAGCTGGAGGCATCACACCACCTGATTTCAAACTATATTACATATCTATATAGTAATTAAAAAAAAGATATGAAAAATATTGATACCATTTTTTTGCAACCTATCCTTTTGGACTGATGAATCCTGAATAAAGCCAGGCCATTCGGTAGTCTGAATCTGGGTAAACCAAACCGCACACACATGAAGACTGCATCACTTACTAAGTCTCCCCTGTCCCAAAGCAGTACAGCACCCTGTGATGATACTGAAACAGAAATGTCCCACTGTGCACTATGTGCCATTGTTGGGACATTCTTTCTTATACCTGGACAGAATCCCTTCCTGCTGGAACAAAAACCTACTTTCTGTTTCTACTGGCTTCTAGAAATGGAGGACCTTTGGTTATCCTATTTATAGTAACCATTGCTGTATTCAAAGATAATTAATTTAACCTCATTCTTTTGCTCTAGGCATCTTAGTCATATCTGTTATTCTTCTCTAGTCCGTCACCAGCTTCTCTACGTCATTCTCAGAATATGAAACACTTGCTTTTTGAAAAAGATTCGGCATTATGTTGCCAATGATCTTATCTATTAGACAATATCAGGTGACATCTAATTTTGGTATAACTCTTCTTTCCTATAAATATTTCATTTTCTTTTAATATATTCTTCAGAGGGAAGCTATAAACATTTATAAATTATAAATAGTATTTCATCAAGCATTAGCTGGCATCACCTGTTGATCCAAATTAAAGCCTTTCCAAACCTCATCATCTGGAGGAGAAAATTGCATACAATATGTATTGTCACATACAATTCCGCAGTCAGAGTTCTACTATTGGGCTGATCTGATTAAATAGCACAAGAGCAGAAAGATCTTTGCCAACAATTTGTTTGAAGAAGGCAGTATTTTCTGCCACTGTAAAGTGTATAATGCAATTTCAGGATCCATTACTGATGATTTATTTACCAGGCAAAACTTGTGAGAGGATAGAGAGTTGTGAGGCTGGGAGGGACCTTGAGAGACCCAGAGATTGCATTTGGCACTTGTATGATTCATCCAGCTGAGATGGTTCTCTATTTCACTCTTAATAATCTTTAGGTAAATGAATTGTAAAATTCCTTCCATAATCCTCCTAGCATCTAAAACAGTCTTCAGAATATCATTTAAATATTGTTTTATGTTCTTTAATACCTTGCAAAAAATAAAAGATGCCTTTATACCATTAAGGAAAAAAATTGCAATAGCAGCCGGGGGGAGAAATCAAACAGTGTAGTTTAGTGCATTGGTGCTGAAATGGCTGGGAAATTTTTTCTTTTACAGGTCATTATCCAGCTCAGGAAAACCCGATGTTCCTTGTTCTCTGTACATGAAGGAGCTACAAGGTTTCATTGCCAGAGTTATGAGTGACTACTTTAAACACTTTGAATGCTTGGATTTTGTCTTTGACAACACTGAAGCTATTGCCCAAAGAGCAATTGAACTTTTTATCCGCAATGCCAGTCTCATAAGACCTCTTGGTGAAGGTGGGAAAATGCGACTTGCTGCTGATTTTGCACAGGTAAATTGATGAATAACTACAAAGGGAAAAATGTTCTGGCCTTAATATTACCTATTAAATAAAAAAAGGTAAATATGTATTTATTAGTGTTTTTAAATAGTTGCAGCATGAAGAAAAGCAAGTTCTCTTAAACTTAACTGATTAAAATAAATTTTTTAAAGATAATTTTATACCAAATATTTTTTTTCTTTTCATTTAACAAAATGATCACCCCTCTTCTTTGATATTTCAAGTTAAGGTGAAGTAACTCATTCTGTAGTAAAGCAGTATTTCCCATTTTTTATATAATATGAGATTTCGTCACTATTGTACTCTCGCACTAGGTCAGTAATGATAGGAGTAATTGACTGACCTTGTTGGAAAATAATGTAGGCAACGAAATAAACTTTCAAACAGTGGAAAGGGGGTTGCCAGTTATCATGTAAAGAGAAAGAACTTCAACACATCTGTAATCCTTTAGAGTCCAGCTCGACACTCCAAGACAGTGTTCTAATTCATTAGGTACACAGTGTCCCAGGTAGGTATAAAGTGATTATTTGGTCTCCTATCAAGTAGAGTACATTTCTTGTCTGTGGCTAGCCTTGAAATCATTCCAAGCTATCTGGTTTATGTGGGATAGAATGACATTAAAATAGCACAATCATAATCAGCTCTTATGGAATGTTTTTTTTTTCTGTGTCCTTCAGACAGATTTTTTAAAGCCTTTCAATAGTATGAGAGGCAAAGAAGAAACACCCCAAACATTCACTTTAATTAAAAGATTCCAAAACAGAGGTGATTCTTATTTATACAGCATGTCAATTTTTAAGTCTTCCAAAGCCATTAGCATTACTAGTGTAAGTAGTTATTCGAATGGATTCTTCATAGTTGTTTGCCAGATCCTCCCTGCTTAATAAGATAAATGTTAATGTCAATATTTATTCCTGAGTGTGCCTGGGAGTGTGTCTTGGTTTATCATCCCTGCATTGAGGAAAGGACCTGGGCAGACTGTTTGTATCAGGGTGATGGGTTGTCAGATGCTCCCTCAGACCTGATGCTTACCAAAAGGAACAGGTAACAAAACCTAAGGTTTTCCAGGGCCAGGTTCTTTGCATAAGAATTGATCCAGCAATTAGTCATTTTTACCCCCAAATGATATGCCTGAGGCCACTAACCCGCAGAAAAGAGCCTTCCTTTGAGAAATATGCCTTTAGTAGCCACAGCATGAAAATAGAAATAACTGTTACCATTAACATAGGTCTTTTTACTGTTTCCATTTTTATCAACTTCATTCTTAGGCTTTGTTTTACAGGTAAACTCAGCTTAAAGAGAATTATACATAAATAGTGCCTTACTTGTCCCTTACTGGGGTTACAGGCTGCTTAATGAAATGAAAACACAGTGGTTTCCTAGGACCTGCTCTTGTTTGTTAAAAACATCAGCTATACTCAGATGGGTCTCTGTTCTCCCTTTCCCCTTTCCTCCTTAATTTGTTCTTTTCCTATCCTCTTCTCTCCCTGGGCTCCCTCCCCCACCAGTTTATTTGCATTCTGCTCCAGCTGGTTCTTGAGTCACTTTCCTGGAGGCAGCACTTCAAGTCCAATTAGAGTGGCTGCCAAGCAGGAGATGGCCAAAATGGGAGTGCTGTAGAAGAGAGACTTGTTTTTGTTTTGTATTTTAATGATATATTCCCTATGAGTCTTGAAAGATGGAAAGTATTATCCTTTAGCCCTTGCTACTGTAGCTAGCACCTGCTCAAAATGCGTAGCATCCAGGACCAGGGTGAGCTTCCACCTTCCAAAAACTGCATTGTTCAGAATTTTATTTGGCTTTTTTTTTTTCTTAAGGCATATTGCCCAATAAATCAAACTTTTCCTGGGTCCCTGCCCTTAAGGTAAATAAAACTCATCAGTCATTATTACTAACTTTTGCTCTAAGGCCTATGTTTTCCATTTTTTAAAAATAGAAATGGCATTTATACACACAGCATCTACTTAGTGATAAGAGTGTATTTTCCAACTCTGCAGTGACTTTATTTTTTTTGGCGGCTGGCCTTTACAGGCATCTGAACCCTTGATGTTGGTGTTATCAGCACCATGCTCTAACCAAGTGAGCTAACCGGCCAGCCCTGCAGTGAGTGACATTTGGTTGCTGCGGTCTGTGTGGTATTGAGAAGCAGATTCCTTTGTTCACGCCTGTACGGTGTGTCCCAGTTTCAGAACATCCTGCCACTCATCTTGGGGATGGTACCAGTCCTGTGGGTTATGGGCACAGGAAAGACAGGTGGAAGCACTATCATAGCTAATCATATTTTTGATCAGTAATTTTGGCAAATGTTATCCGGGTGTTATGTGATGACTCTTCCTCCCATTTTTTTTTTTAAAAAAATTTGAAATTGGGATTTTTATTTCACTTAATTTGGTTTCTTGCCGCAACAGTAATTATGTGGTGTTGTTCTTTGGCTGTTAGTATCATACTTGGTTGGAAGTGTTTTTTTTTTTTTTTCCTGGGGTCAGTCAAAATACTTAAATAGCATTACCCAGACATTTATATTCATGATAGCCATCAGCTGGAGATTAAAAAGCCTTTCAATTGCCTCATAATTGAAAGTTTTATCAGTTTTGGTTGAAAATTAAATAAAGCCATTGAGGTCACTGGAATCAAGAATACACAAATACTTCATGGGTTTCAAAAGTGTCCTTGAGATAAAAGTAACTGCTGTCCTGGTATAAATAACAGAAAGAGAAAGAGCTCAAGAACAGACCAATAGAGTAGGTTTGGGAATGCTGGTTATTTGGCATAAAGTCCAATTGCCATTTTATAACGATATATTTTAAGGATTGCTTTAAGAGTCTTACTTCTCCCCGCTGGCACTGGTATGGAGAAAGAGAAAGTAGTTGCAGGGTGCCATCTGGAGGGCTTATGGTGACGGACATACCCAACACACAGCCCCTTAGGAATCCAGGTCATGGGCATGAGGTGATTTCCTACAGGTAATTAATTCCCTACTGTGACCACATGGCCTCAGAGTCTACACTCATCACATAGCAGTTCTGAAAGCACTAAGCTTGTCCAAGGCCACTGGGGTTCAGCTGATTTTGAATCTCTTTGCAGACTTACACAGTACCCTCTGAAGCACACACTACCCCTCCGCTCCTTTTTCTCTTCTTCCCTGAGGGAGAGGATGGCTACTGAAGTTGGCATTAAATTATTTAGTGGTACTCCAAACAGTTTCTATTTATAGGTCTTCTGGTGCCCATTAAGTATACATTTATATCTATTTCACTTTGTGCCTAAAAAAATAAACATTTAGAAAACAAGAAAATTAAAATTCTAATTTCTGTTCTAATTCCTCTTCCTTTTTCTCCTCCTGAACAATGTCAGGGCAGGAGTGCCCTAGGAGTATCCAAAGATGCCCGTGGTTAACCAGATGCCTGTGGTGGGTCAGGAGCAGCTATGTAATTAGTTCACCATGCCTGCAGCTGCCTGCTCACTCCCTCCAAACAGGAGGGCTGGAGAGAAGCAATTGCACATGACATTTTTGTAGCCACAGCTAATTGCAGAGTCACCTCCTCTAAAAGGAACACTCCTGCCCTTTAAAATATGGCCTATATCCTTTAATGGAATTCTGGCAGGAGAAAACAATTGTCAATACCCTAGAGGTCCTTTATGGATGAAAAATTTATTTTAAACACTTAACATTTTGAAATTGTCCTATGGCATAGAAATCTTCTGTATCATTATAGATTTCACAACCATTCAAGGTCATATTCTCCCATATAGTAACTTTTTCCTAGCCATTTATTTGTTTTAACATTTAGTTCTGCTCATGTGCTAAGGCAGAGGTTGTTTGGTTTGGTCTTGGAAGACAATGAACCCATTAGGGTAATTGAAAAGAAATTAACGAAAACAGTTAATGAAAAATATATCACATAATTTCGTTGTGTAAAAAGCCAATGCGTGCGTGCGCACACATGGAGTTAGGTGGAATTGCCAAGTCAAAGATACATGATAAACACATTTTTACTTTGTGCTCAGTGTGAAGTAAATGACAAATTCTGAAGGAAACCAGGAACAGCCCGTCACCCACTGTCTTTTGAGTTAAGAACACTGGCTTGCAGCTATTCTGTTTTGCGTTGTTGGCAAGAATCTTGACTTTTTCTTCCTTAGATTTTTCTCTTTTATTTATTTATTCTTCTGTATTTTAGAGAGTTTCCCGACCACGTGCAGTTTCTCTCTAGGACATACAGTGTACACTCTGTGTCCTCTATGCCTTAGGAGATAAGTTAACCTGGCCACTATTCATCCTCAAGACTGTATCAAGGAAACTGCCCTCCAATTCCCCCTTGACACTCAGTTCATACATTTGATATAACTCTTAATAATGATCATTATGTGTGTATCTATGTATATTGTGTTTGTATGCATCTATATACACATGTACATTTCTTAGGATTTTTTTTTTTTTTTTTTTTTAAAGATGACCGGTAAGGGGATCTCAACCCTTGGCTTGGTGTTGTCAGCACCACGCTCAGCTAGTGAGCAAACCAGCCATCCCTATATAGGATCTGAACCCGTGGCCTTGGTGTTATGAGCACCGCACTCTACTGAGTGAGCCACGGGCCGGCCTAGGATTTTGTTGATTAATCATATTGTTTAAAGAAATAAATATCCCCTTTACTAAATTTGAAAGAGTTCCTTGAAGGCAAGACAGTCTAATTTATCATCTTATCCCCATGTCTAGCTTGATGCCTGGCAATTAATAGGGAGCCAAAAATGTTTTTCAAATGATTATGTCTCTATGGCAGGGAAATTTTGAGGAGTTTTTCATAAGGATGGCCAGAAAGACAGAAACCTCACTTCCTTTTAAATGTTTTTCTTTAAGAAAGATGCTGTACTACCAGAGAGCTTTATTCTCAGCCATTTTCTAAATTATTCTTTACCAGGGTACTATTTATAGCAAGAGTAGAGAAACAGTTTATCAGCTGAGTGGCACATATGCAAAAACTTTGCATATGTACTTGATAGATAAAAAAAAAAACAAGTAGCCTAGTTAATGACGAGTAGAATTTCCAGTCAAAGGAAGAAAATTAAGAGAAGTAAAACCAGTGTTTGCTAAATTCTTGAGTCAGGGAACAGATTAGTTTACTAATAATATAAAAGAGAATTTTTTTTAGAATACTGTTAATAATTGCTGATATTTATTGAGCAATTATTATATGCCATTCACATAGAGCTTTGTGGGATTATCTATTTAATTTGAATAATTCTATTAAGTAGGTATTATTATTGCCATTTTATAGATGAGAGACCTGAGACTTAGAGAGATTAAGTAACTTGTACAGGGTCACACAACTTGTAACTGCACATTTGGAATTCTGACACAGATGTGCTGTTAAGAGCTCCAAAGTCAGTGCTTTTAACCACTTGGGCCACACTGACATAAAAAATTGTCATCATTTGTATTGAATATAAAAAGACTTGTGATGCCTACTTAAAATATAGGCACACAGTCGTAAAACTTTTCTTTTCCTGATTTTTTAGTGGAGGAATGATCTAAACTTTCTCCTCATATAACAATGTTTTTCTGTATTCATAAAGGAATTTGTCTCATCTTGGATCCCTTCAGTAAATAAATGCAAAAATTATCTAAGTTCTTGCCTTTTAATAAGTTTAATTGGCTTTCAAAACTCATCTCACAGACCATATAGCATTAAGTTTACTACAAATTATAACTTTCTATGATCCAGGTATGTCTAAAATTTACTTTAGGATTCTGACAGAAAAAGTTATGGAGTATCTTTTAATATTTCAGATGGAGTTGGCTGTGGGTCCATTCTGCAGACGAGTGTCCGATTTAGGAAAATCCTATCGAATGCTGAGGTCATTCAGGTGAGACCTGATTCTTTGTTAATACATTTATAACCTTTACTATCCATTTATATTAAATCATTTCCTCCTACTCAGGTTGAATTATATAGAGTTGCTAATATTCAACCATTTTTGACCTACAACAATGGCAATTTCATATGATTCATTTTAAAAGTTATATTGTTCAAAGTAGAAATCCATATAGAATTATATATATACAATGAGTAATAAGTTTGTGTGTGTGTGTTTCAGAATTACAATTCAGAAGATAGAGATGGTAAATTTTATTATGTTCTTCCTAGGGCAATTTTTTTTTTTTTTTTTGCTTCCCACTCTTACAGAACTGTATTGAATAGTAATACCAGGCAGTTCATAATTATATAGACATCTTTTTCTGATATTTTCATTTGTTAATTTATCATTTTTAATCCACTCTAATTCTAAAAAGGTCATAGGTTACATTCCAAGCCGTGGATGTAACAAAACTTTTTTTTTTTTTTTTTTTTTTTTTTTTTTTTTTTTTTTTTTTTTTTTTATTGCTAACTGGTCTGGGGATCCAAACCCTTGACCTTGGTGTTATCAGCACCATGCTCTACAAGTGAGAAAACTGGCCAGCCCCCCTAAAATAGTACCATTATTTTTGAACTGAATCTCATCAAGATCTTTAGGTGAATATAAAAAAACTCTTGAAAGGCATACTAAAAGAGCTGAGTTCAGTGATGAAATGCAGGAAATGACTGTAAATGTAGTAGATATTAGGCTAATGCAGTTCAGCACAAAATTTTAGATTGAGCTTGCTAGAAACCAGTTCAAAAAGAAAAACAATGAGTTAACTCATACTCATGATCTCAGAATATTACCAGTTTGACAGAGAGAAAAGGCCTTTTTGGTGCTGAATGCTTAGATATGCCTTAATCAATTCAGATTTTAAGTAACATTTAATAACAGTGACTTGGGTCTTCAATAGCAGATTGTAAAAAATAAGGAGATGTTGTTTATACTGCTGTTTAGTCAGTACACCAGAACTGGCCAAAGTTTTTCACGTAATGGTACCCATAAAAAATGTTTACATTCAAACGGGTGACCAACACTGAGGGCTGAGGGGATCAACATAATACTTAGGACATTTTTGTGACCACAGAACACCAGATGGGAAGCCTGGATATAAACTATATAAACTATCCATAATATTCAATATCTTCCTTTTTGCCAAGGCAGGATAGCCTTTATCAAAGCACTTCTAAAGTTGTCACACAGTGTGGAGACACAAGTTCTGGGGGTGAATTTCACATAAGACCAATTCTATTTTAAGCCATTAAGATGGGAATTTTTTGTCAATTTTCCCAATTCTCCCATGAGAAAAAGACTCTCTAAAGGAACATTTGAAGTTTGGGTGATGCCTTCTAGTACCTATTTATGGAATTGAAAATTAATGATTGATTAACGTGTAATTTTTTTAATCCTACATTTTTTCATCTAGCTTCTCTTGGAGTAATGGTCAATCTAGATGGATTTAAAACTTTTGGCCATGAGATATTTTCTATTGCAATTTGGCACATACTTGCATGCGAACATGGAGACGCATTCAAACCTATATACATACACATGCACACTCATATGTATGTTTCATGAAACAGTAAATACCCTTACTTCATGTGATATTCCCTGATATTTCTATTTCATTTGATTATCTCTACCCACTAAATTAGTTTTATGGTTCACTAGTGTTTTCCATCCAGCAGTTTCTCAACTTTTTCACAGGGCCCTTAACTCTTGAACTTTAGTTGCTCTACTGATAGCAGAGTTTTTTCCTTTCTATAAACTATAAAGATTTATGCCCTTTCTTCCTGGGATTGTGGTATCCCTGAGCTTTCTCCTTCAGATGACCCCTTAGCCCCAAAGGCCTCAGGCACAATGAGAATAATTGTACCTTGCCTATGGGGTAACCTCCATAATTTGAATTAACTGAAAAATTCCAACAGGGATTTATATACACCAATATATTCCTACAGTTATATCGAATCTACAGAAATCATCTTAAGCTAATCCTAGCACTTTCTCAGTTTTTTGATAGGACTGGAACAATTATTTTGTAAAGAGTTTAGGATTAACTGAATCAAGAAATAAAATGAAAGTGTAGAATATTAGAGGGTTCAAATCCAGTCCTGGTCCAATTGCTTAAGAAGAAGCAACATGTAAACATGTGCCACTGCCTCTGCCCTGCACCATCGTTGGGAAAGCTCGTCTGCTTCTCTGCAGTTGTCATGTGAAGTGAACTGACTTGAGAAAGCTTACCCATGTGGAAGGCCCTACCAAATCCCTTCCTAGAGAGGAGTAAATCAGTATAGAGCAATCTTTATTCTGATAACCTAGTACTAGGCCATTTGCCTATCTTCAAAAACTTGTTAGAGATGCCTCTTCTCCAAAATTAGTCCTGAGCAGTTGCAGTGAAAGGGCCCACTCTTTTTAATCCGTGCACTTCTTCCACTTTTGCTGTGGGCTGTGACAGGAATAAGCATTGTCCAGTGACTGTGCACATTTAGACCTTGGCTCTTGTTCATGGATCTCCTCATCAAAGGTTCTGAATGACACCAAAACCAGCTGAATGGTGGGCTATAGGGGACTGACCACATTCATAGGATCAAGTATATGCAGCCATTAATAACTATGATGTTAGCTAATATCTAATAATATGAAAAATACTCTGTAATGCATCACTAAATGAAAAAATAGACTAAGTACATATGATATGATCCCTACTGTTTTTTAAATAATAGTATGTGTTTGTATCAAGAAGAAAAGCCAAAAAGGACCAAAAAGGATAAATATCAAAAAATTTTCTTTGGATAGAATTGTCACTAATCATTTTTCTTTTAGGGTTTTCTATACTTTTCAAATTTTCTGCCTCCAGTTTATTTTTGTAGTCATAAAAGTCAATAAATATTTTTTTTAGATGCCTCGTGTTGTTTTTCCCATTTAAAAATAACAGAGGAGCTAGAAAATCATATAAAGTGTATCAAAATGTTGTCCAATAAAGGAGAGGGGTGTGTGACAAAAAAACCAGGCAGCCAAACAGCCAAAACCCAGCAGGCTGCAATAGCCACAGGGCCCTCAGTCTGAATTGGAGGCAGTTGCTACAGGGGAGGGCAACAGAGAACCTCTAGTCCAGACCCCAGGTGTGGCACCCACCACACACACGTGTACAACTTCGCAAGCACTCCCTCCTCCCATCACACAGCCATCTGCTGCAGGGCACTTTCTTCTTGACAGTAATATTAGTGGACTATTTAATTAAGCTGCCAGCTTCTAGCATACATTTACATTTTACTGTCTACATTAGAGTTTCTCAGGCAGCAGGAATCTTTTCATACCTGGGACAGAATGCTGCCTCAGAAAGCTGCTGACATTAGTGATTTGCCCATGGGTGATTGCTATTTCTACACAAGACACTTGTCTGTACTGCTGAGACCCCATCTTTGTCCATCCCTCTGTAGCATGGCATTATCCCCTAAAGTAGTGTTTATGAAGTTACCTTCATTCCACCTGGACAGAGGCCTGAAAGCTCTGACCCTTGACATTGTCAGTGCAAATCTTTATGAGGCAAAAGACAGAAAAGGGATTGAATGCCCTTCGCTAGCTCAGGGACACAGACCCTGCCTTTAGGAAGCCCTCACTACCTTCACTCCTGAGGAGACAGTTTATCCCTGATGATGTCCGCAGCCTGCTCTGCTGGAAGCTTTATTACCATCTAGGCTTGATGAAAGAGCAGTGAAAACTGTCAGGAGCTAGGGGCTATGTTGTGATGGATCTGCTGGTGGGAGGGGTGGGAGGGGTGGTGGAAGAAGGAAACCATCAATAACTAGAAGGTAGTGTTTATGTCCATTGTTTTTAATTGTAGGAGTGGTAAGGGTTTTCCAGGTCTATAATTATATTGATGATCAGACCTCTGCGTCTGAATGTTTATAGGACTGCTTGAAATTCCAAACCTCTGCGTCTGAATGTTTATAGGACTGAAAGAAGGCCATCTCTGCAGCTTCTGTTTTTACCACTTTTAAACATCAAGACCCCCAGTTGTGTTCTGTCCTTTCTTTCCACTTGTGAATCTGGGGCCCTTAATTCATCCCATGCAATAACTGTCTCCCTGAGGTTTCTGTATTCTTAATTCCAAGTTTCACATTTCAGCGTTGGCAGCCAGATTTGGTTTGTTTGTTGTTTGCTACTACTTTGACAGTGATAGGAGCATCTAGGTAAACACGAAGGGGTGAACATTTAGTTTATTACTATTTTTATTATTTCTAGCAACAATTATTTGATTGTTTACTATATGCCAAGCCTGTGCTAAGCGTTTTACTGATTCTTTCTCATTTAGCCCTCACAGCACCATGAGCCAGGTGTGACCCCCACAAGGCAGTTGATCCTCAGAGAAGGTCAAAAGTGCTGCACAAAAGTGCAGTACTGAAAACTACGAGAATCCCAGAGCCACATCTCAGGCCCAGGGAGGCCTGATTGCAAGCCTGTGCTGGTAACCACTGTGCTCCATATATACATATTCCACAAGTGCCCATTTGATTTCACTCAGATTGGTCCTGGAACAGCATCTGAAATGCTTATATGTATCATTCATTTCTGAAAATGTCAGAAAATTTTATAGAGAGGATCTAAACACCCCACATTGGTCCGCTGTTTCCAGGTTTCCAGAGAATGCACCAGGAATGTTCAGCCAAACAGACACTTTATTGTTAAAGAATGTCTACCCAAAGCCTTTGCCTCCTTTCCCATCTGGTCTGCTGGGGTAGATGATCTAGACTCTGAAGAAAAGAACCTTTCAGACCTCTCTACTTTGAGCCCTGTTTCACCCCAGATCATTAGCCTCCTGCGTCATTCTCTCCTGGGTCCCACATGACCCCTTGTGCCATAAACCAAACATCCCTAAAGAATCTCCATAGAGGCCCTCCCCTCCTGCAGGCCTCCCGCACCTCTCACCTCTCTTCTCTCAAAGGCCCTCGTGGTGTCCTGTGCAG